CTGCCCACTGACGTGCCTGGGAAAGCAGCAGATGACAGTGTAAATACTTACACCCTCTACCACACATGCAGAAACACTGGAACGTGTTCCAAGGCCCCCGGTTTTTGTCTGGCCAGCCCTGGCCACTGCAGTCACTTGGAGAAACAACCATGGAAGCACTCTCTCTTTGTGTCTCAATCTTTAAAGTAAAAATAAATACAACTAAAATTTGGGGGTTAGCGCAATGGCTGAGCTGGCTAATCCTCTACCTTCTAGTGCCAGTATCCCGTATGGGTACTGGTTTGCGTCCCCACTACTCCACTTCCTATCCAGCTCCCTGTTTGTGGCTTAGGAAAGCAGCGGACGATAGCTTGCGCTCACGTGGGAGACCCGGAAGAGCTCCTGGCTTCCGATTGGCTCAGCTCCAGCTGTTGCAGCCATCGGGAACGAACCAGCAGATGGAAGGTCTTCCTCTGAGTTTCTTCAACTTTCTGTAAATCTGCTTTTCCAATAAATAAATCCTTTCTTAAAAATCTACAACAAGCTGGTTAGAAGAGAAAATTTCAACCATTCGGGAATTTGGAGATCACCTAAAGACATAACCAGTGGGCTTACTATCTCATCTCCACTGTAAAGAAAATCTAGGAAGCAAGAATTAGAAGGACATGCCAAAATTTCCCTTAAATTTTCAGGCAGGGCACAGCACCATGGTTCAATTAGTCATTTCTCCACCTTCAAGGGCCAGCATCCTATATAGGCACAGGTTCAAGTTCCAGCTGCTCCAATTCCCATCCACCTCACTGCTTGTGGCCTGGGAAGGCAGTAGAGGACACCCAAAGCCCTGGGCCCCTGGACATGGCTGCCCATGTGCACTTGGGTTCACCTGCAACAGGCGCGCTGATGGCAGAGCACGCCAGCAGCCTCTCTCTAAGCACTTGGGCTTCTGCTGTGGCTCTGAATGTACCTGCGAGTGGGGTAAAAGATGGAGCCCAGCCAGTCCACTGGGCCCCACAGGTTCCTACCAGTCCCCAGAAACCGCGAAGCTGCTGGCTACGAATAACTGCAGCTGGTTCGAATCACGGCGGCCCCACTTTCGATCCAGCTCCCTGATAATGACGCGGGAAAGCAGTAGAGGATGGCTCAAGTGCTTGGGACGCTGCACCCTTGGGTGCAAGAGGAAGCGCCTGGCCCCTGGATTTGGACCAGCCCGGCCAGAGCTGCCCAAGAGGGAGTGGAGCAGTGGATGGAGGCTCTTCCTCCCTCCTTCTCTACCGCTCTGCTTTCCGAAGAAATCAAATAAACCAAAAGAGGAAGCCGCTCCCCGGTTACCTCGCTGAGGCATTTTCCCGCCGCCTCGGGCTCCGCCGCCAGCTGCCGCCCCGAGGAGCCCGCACCGCGCCGAGCGGCGTGAAGCCGGGCGCACCCCGCTCCCCGGCGACGCCTCCTGCTTCCGGATCCTGCCCGGAGACCCTCCTGGCGCCGGTCCGAGGCCCGCGCGCCCGCGGCCGGAAGCGGAAGTGGCGTGGGCCCGGGATCCCGCGCCGCCCCGTTGCGGTCCCCGGCCCCGCACCTGAGATCTCCGCTCAGAACCCCTGGCACGGGGTTCCGCGAATATTTATTAAGTCGCAACCAGCCGGGTGTTTCAGGCTGCCATTGATCTCATTATCGCCCTTTAGCAGTTGAGGAATTATTGAGTCAGCCACTTGCAGCCACTGTGACAGTAAGACATCATTGCGCTCAAATAGTCTGGTCAAAGAATTGAGGTAATTTCATGAATATCAATACCACAAGTTTGCTTAATAATAATATTATTATGAGGCCCAACGCAATGGTCTAATGGCTAACTCTTCACCTTGCACACCTTATGGGTGCCACTTTGTGTCCCAGCTGCTCCACTTCCCATCCAGCTCCCTGCTTGCGGGCTGGGAAGGCAGTGGAGGACACCCAGTGCGCTAGGACCTTGCATCCACTTGGGAGACCCAGCAGAGGCTCCTGGCTTTTGGCTTCGGATAGGCTCAGCTCTGGCCACTGTGGCTACTGGTGGAGTCAACCACAGGATGGAAGACATTTCTCTCTCCATAAAACTGACTTTCCAATAAAAATACACAAATAAATAAATAAATCTTTTAAAAGTTAGGAAAAATTATAAGAAGAAATTGGAGAGATTTGTCATAGCAGCCAAGCAGAACAAAGGGTGAGAGCAAATGCGAGCTGGAAAGACAAGAGGTGCGAATGTTATTTTTCACTATGTTGTGCTACACATTGAGAAAGTTTAAAAACTCACTAAAAAAAATGATGAAAGCCTCTACCAGAAATACAGCATCCCTCTGGAAACTTACTCATAATTTAAGTAAAGTTAATTTAGGAACAAACTTTCATTTCATTTTTTTCCATAGGAATTATAAATGTAATTTGCTCTTTAAGTTTTTTTAAAAAATATTATTGTGGTAAATGGCTTCCTTTTTTGTCTGTGTACATATACCTAATTATTCCTGAGATCTTTACCTTGTACATTAATTCAGTAGCTCTTTTCTACATATTGTTTCCAACAAAAATAAGTTAATCTTTTTAAAAAAATGTACAAAGCTTATGTCTTAAAACAGTGGAGAGTCTGCTCATTCCACCAGCTGCTACCTGTGTCCGTGGTAAACTCTTAGCAGGGTGCTGAACTTCAGACTGTACTGCTCAGACACCCAAACTCTTCCTCAATGCTTATCAGTCCCTACCCACCTGTGGCATGTCCTCTGGCCTATTACTTTAAGTTAAACTGTGCAGGCCCTTTTCACGTTGCCCAATGTGGTACTGATTCTGCCCTGAAGCCTTCCTCAGAGTATCCTGCGTCTCTGCTCGTGTGTGCCTGTGGCATTGTCAGTCTACATCTCCCGGGTCTCCTTTGTACCCAACATGGACTTATGGTGCCGGGGTCACTCTTTCTATCAGTTACCCTTTGACAGAAAAGGCCACTAAAACCTGTAGTGCTTTCTTTCATAGCTTCAGGGTAAAACTATCAATGTAAAAAGCAATTCCGTCTTATCCAAACAGGAATGTAAGAAGTGCTAGCAGTCATCCCACTGTGATCTCAGGGGAGTCTGGCAGATCTGCTGCTGGACAGGACTACGCAGGAAGATGTTCCAAAGCCTGCTCCCCACACTTCCCACCAGTACAGTGTCACACTGACTCCATGCCACAGAGGTTAGCCCACACTGGTACAGCAAGTACCGTCTATACGCTAGGCATAGTGCTACATGCAATATTTTATGTGACATAGCTCATTAAAAGGCTGAGAATAGGCAGCTGGCATTGTGGTGTGGCAGGTAATGCTACCACCTGTAATGCCAGCATCCCACATAGGTGTGGCTTTCTGTCCTAGCTGCTCTACTTCTGATCCAACTTCCCTGCAAGGAAAACCAGAAGACGGCACAAGTGTTTGGGCCCCTTCCACCCACATAGGAGACTGCCTCCTGGCTTCATCCTGGATATTTTGACTGTTATGGACATTGGGGAATGAGCCAGCAAACAGAAGACATTTATCTTTTGATTTTTATATACATTTCCACAGTAAAATAAAATAAAAATATAACTAAATAGAATCATGGCCGAGACCAGCTCTGCCCAGTTTGCTAAAGGGGAAGCCACACTGGGGATTGGGAGAAAGATCCCACCAGAAGACCTTTTCAGTTCCCAACATGATTTCCTGGTACGTCAGGGTAGGGAGAAGTTGGGCAGGTGTGGGGGGAGATCCTCACTGTTCTAGCTTCAAACTGCAACTCTCCAAGTAGGACCACCACCAGATGACCATGTTATAGAATCCGCTGAGGGGAATATTCAGGGGGAGGGGGACCTGGGATGGCAGTTAACCTGGGGCTTCACCTAGGTTGAAATTTAGTTCACTTAAGTTACTTACTATTTAGTGTCCAGCAGAAATATCCACTTCACCCCTCCACCCAACACCTGGCATCAGTCGCCACATCAGCTCTGCCTGCTCCACTGGCTCTCGGCCCTGCCTCCATCACTGATGATCCCAAACTCATCACTGCCCCTGTGAACGAGGTAAATAAGAAAAACATTTTTAAAAAATGGCTATATGAACTAAAGAGGGAAAAAATCACCCTAACCTGAGGCAAGCTTGAGAAGGCAAGGGAAGCAGGACATATCCAGGGTTCATCTCGCCACCTGAGCCCAGTGTTCGCCTGTTAGCAACACACTGCTGGATCTTTCCTCAGCACACTGCTCCAGGCTGTGGCCAGATGAATGTTCCTGGCATCAGACTCTACTCTTAGAACATTTCTGGTAGTCTCCCTCCCTTTCCCGATTCCTCATAACTTTGCTGTTGCCTGCAACAGTTGTCAGTACCATCTTAGACTGCTTGTCAATCAGAAAGAAACCCAGAAGAGACAGCTCTCTCAGCAACTACACAAGAACATTTTAACTAAAGCAAAAAACAATTTTAAAGATTTATTCATTTTTATTGGAAAGTTGGATATTCAGAGAGGAAGATCTTCTGTCCTCTAATTCATTCCCCAAGTGGCCGCAAAGCCTGGAGTTGAGCTGATCTGAAGCCAGGAGCCTCTTCTGGGTCTGCCATACAGCTGCAGGGTCCCAAGGCTTTGGGCCATCCTTGACTGCTTTCCCAGGCCACAAGCAGGGAGCTGGATGGGAAGTGGGGCTGCCAGGATACAAACCAGCACCCATACGGGATCCTGGCACGTGCAAGAAGAGGACTTTAACAACTAGGCTATGCGCTGGGCCCAGCAAAAATATTTTTACTGCTATAAATCAGACGGAAAGAATACTTTTGAGACCCTAACTCAACATCGCCCCGAGTTTCCATTTAGCTTGATTCTGTTATCACAGCCCCAGCCAGCCGACATCCCGCCTCAGCCCAGCTATTGCCACCTTTGTCAGAGCATTCCTCATCAATCTAGCAGGTCTACAAAGAGAAAGCAGGTGCTGGGAGCACGGTAGAGGAGAGGCAGATTAGCCACAGGGTGCAAACCAGTGAAACATCACACACATCCTTGTTTCCTGGAGATGTTTATTTACCATTCAAACATTTTCTACAAGGAAGGACACAGTCACTAATTTTCCTAGGAGCCCCATTTCCAAAGTTTCCCAGGGAATTCACCTTTCAGAGAACACTGCCCAGGAGTAAGGCTCCAAAGCTCTGTTGATCACTTGTGACAAAGGTGGGGGAGCGAACCTTTGCCAAAGGAAGAGGAACCAGACCACAAACTCCACTGCCAATTTCTTGAAAAGCTGTAAGTCCCATAGGTCCCTGCTTGTCTGAGGTAACATCTACATGTGTGGTGTGCTTGTGGGCCCTTGCGGGGTGTGGTGGCTGACCTATGCAGCCCACGGCCTCTGGGAACACTGCAACTCACAAGCAGTCTCCTGTTGAGCTCTACGAGACCTGGCCCCTCTTCACCGGCTTCCCAGTCCCCAGGGGCCCAAATACTCCTACTCAATGTCCCAAATCAGAAAGTAGTAACAGAAAGATGTGTTTCCACAGCTTTTGGGACAAACATCAGACACAATAAGGTAGGTACCCAAATCACATCTTGGCAAAATACACCAGGAGAGGCAGCACACCTTGGGACAGGCCAGACACACAGCGACCTCTGCTTCGAGCAGGTTCCCTCAGACTTCCGTCTTTAGCAGCGCAGACACAGCTGCTTCAGTTCCATACCAATCCTTTGCAGCCTCTGTGCCTCTCTCACACTACACTCCCCATTGATGTTAATCACCTGGAAAATGCAGAAGTGCACGTCTGGGTGGCTGAGCAAGGAATCCCAGCTTTAGACAACAGGCCCTTCTGAACATGCCACCGAATGGGGCAAAGAGAAACACCTCTCTACCTAGCCGGTGTGAGTCCTCTGATGACTCATGAGGCGTGAACTCCGAGAGAAGCTCTCTCCACATTCAGAACATTTATAGGGTCTTTCTCCTGTGTGGGTTCTCAGATGCCGAATCCGGTTGGAACTGTGAGAGAAGCTGTCTCCACATTCATGACAGGTGTATGGCTTCTCTCCTGTGTGAATCCTCTGGTGCCTGATTAGGTTAGACCTGTGAGAGAAGTTCTCCCCACAAAGGGTACATTTGTATGGTTTCTCTCCTGTGTGTGTCCTCTGATGTCTTGTGAGGTGCATACCCTGCCGGAAGCTTTTCCCACAGGTTAAACACTCAAACAGTTTCTTCTCTGCCTTGGGGGTCCCGTGGTTCGTAAGAAAAGGGGTGCTATCATTCCTGGCTTCCCCACACTCGGTGAAGGGGTAAAGTCTCTCTCTCTCATGAGTTCTTTCATGAATGACAAGGTGTGAACTCCTGGAGAAACTTTTCCCACACTCAGTACACTTATAGGGTCTCTCTCCTGTATGAATTCTCTGGTGCCGAAGGAGGTTAGAGCTATGGGCAAAGATCTCCCCGCACTCAGGACACTTGTACGGCTTTTCCCCGGTGTGTGTTCTCTGGTGCCTGTGGAGGTTGGAGTTGCACGAGAAGCTTTTTCCACAGATGTTACACTGATAAGGTTTCTCACCTGTGTGGGTACGCTGATGGCGGGTCAAGTGAGTATTCTGACTAAAGCATTTGCCACATTCGAGGCACTTATGGGCCTCCTCCCCAAGGTGTGCCCACTGCAGGGACAGGAAGTGAGGGTTCCCAGCATAAACTTCACCACAGTCCACACCCACACATAGTCTTTCCGCAGCATGAATTCGCTGGTGCCTAATTAGGTTTGAGTTGTTGGAGAAGTTCTTCCCACACAAGGGACACAAATGGAGCTTCTTCGGCTGTGCTTCCTTGGATTGCCCCAGTTCTCTGTAACTTGTGGTTCCCACCAACGCCTGTTCCGCTGTGGCCTCTGAGGGAGGCTCCCAGCGCCAGTCTGCCCTGTCATGAGGTCTTCCTTGCTCAGGACTCCAGGGCACCTCACTTCTGGCCTGGCCTGGCAGCAGCGCCTGAGGGTGTGTGTTCTCAGGGGAATTAAACTGAGTACTTTCTTCTGGCTTCTCAAATTTCTCCTCCCCTGCAGCCAAAAAGAAACCAAAGTCATACATTGTTCGACACTGCAGAAAATAAAGTCAGGATGAACTGCCAAGGCATGTCAGGCCAGAATCCCAGAAAAGCTAGTTCTGCCTCAGTCTCCCATCCTCCCTTAAGGTAAGATGCTCCGGAGGCCTCCAGGTGAGGCACGGGGGCATCTTTCAAGACTTAGAGCTCAAACAGTCTTGGAATTCTCTCCCTGGTGCGTCCATGGCCCTTGCTACTAAGCCTCTGACTTCTACCCCACACAATGGGTAGGGTGGAGCAGGGCTGAGAACAGTATGAGGCAAGTAGTCCCCAAAGAGCAAGCCTCCTTGCAGCCTGCAGTCTGTGCCTCACCTGCCTTGCTGGACAGCACAGGCAGTGGCCACACAGGATTCATGGGCCTCACTGGCAGAGGTGGAGGGCTGGTCCTGCACCCACGCTCAAATGCCTCTCTCTCGGCCTCAGAGGCCCTGCAGGGCCTGCTGAGCTGAGTGCCTTACCTGGAGCTGGGCTTCGGGGGCCCAGGGCCTCCTTGCATGCCTGGATGCCGGGGTCCCGTGGCTTTCTTCCCTGGTCCACCTGGGTGCCTAGGGCTTCCTGACTGGGAATGTGTGACTCTGTTCATAAGGAAAGAAACAGATTTTCTGTGTCACCACTTTCCTATACCAAGCAAGGAAAACAGAGAGAGTCTTGTCCCATGTCGGCAGTGCAAAGATACGGAATGCTCAGGAAGCCTAGCAATGTTTCTTGGAAATATATGTACACTATTCTTAGCAGTTGTGCCAAGTGAGTCTGGCTGGCATTCTCGTTGCACAAACCTGAAAGAGGAAAACAGAGTGCAGTGTGACTTTCCACAGGTGTGTGCCTCAGCCTACGCTACTGCGTGCATTTAACCACAATGCACAGCTGGCTCTCTGTCATGTTTTCACTTTCTCCCACTTTCATTGTGACGATGTTCATACATACTAAAGGCTGAGAGCTATTCAATAAATTTTTGTCTTTATATGCCCACTGTTCAAACTTAATTATCTATTTTGTCATTTATTTAAATATTTTTTAATTGGAAAGGCAAAGTCCTCCTGTAAGGCGAGGACTTTAGCCATTAGGCTACCACGCCAGGCCCCAGCCTGTTCGTCATGTTTTACAGGCATCATTGTTAATCTCTGCATAATACTTCAACAAACAGATGCTTTCTAATGTATGTTTGGCCTATTCTGGGCAAAAAATAGCATTTCAAAACTTCTACAAGGGTTTCCTGAATTCAACATCAAACTGACTATTCCTCTAGGACTACAGGATCACCCTTTCTGAATGTCTATGGCTCTGACAACTGCTAAATTTGAAGGTTGGTGGCTGTGCCCCTGAAAGTTTTCTCCTTATGGAATATACTGGAAATGCTAATGAAGCACAGGAAACAGAAGAGAGTTCAGAGAGGGTCATACAACTGCGAGGAAGGAAAAGGAGAGGTCTAGGCATCCTGAGACTCGGAGCGCCTGCCCCCAACGCTGGAGGCCAGAGGGAGCTCCTGACTCCTGCCTTTGGCATGGCCCAGGCCTTGAGCTTGCATCCATCCAGGGAAAGAACCAGTCAACGGAAGACGTATCTTTCCCTGTCTCTCTGCATTTCAAGCAAAAAGATAGAAGAAAAGAATGAAAGAAAGAAAAAGAGAGAGAAGAATCCTTACCCAGTGAATTCACCACCTTACAATTCTCCTGCACCAGGTCCCTGGAGAAGGCGCTCTTACTAGGATCCCGATGTCCCCATTCCTCCGGGGACATGAACACTGCCACATTCTCTAAGCTCTCAGGCAACTGAAACAGCACAAGATTTCTTTTAGCCCCGAATGCAACAAGAACAATTCAAGCTGAGTCATGGTTAAAGGGACAAACCCCAGGGGTACCAAGGACACATATTTTGGGGAAGAGGGGTGCCAGGCTTACAAGTGAGTAGTGGAAAAGACACAGAAGGCAGGGAGACACTTTTGAGGGAAAGTGGGCCCTCCAAGTGGCAGAAGGGCCCTACCCACCCAAGGGAAGGAAGAAGGGTGCTGGGAGAAGACAATGGGAACTTCCACATCACCTGGGGCCCAGTCACAGCCTTGTCTTCCAGGTTCCCTTCAGGAGGAAAGAGAGAAAGCCAGGGAGCAGATAATGCTGAAGGTGACAGAAATCACAATGAGAATGGCGATCCTAACTCTTGGCCACCCAATGGTTATTGTAGCACAGTATCTCAGCGATGGCAACAGAGGCGTAGTACTGATACCCAAAGCCAGCACTCTTCCTAGCTGGCTGGCCAACAGCACTCCACAGCCCTGGCATTTATCTGGCTCTGAATATCTTCTGTTCTGCATACAAATGGGGCTTGATCAAGATCTTCCCCTTCCCAATTCCCCCCAAAACCCCACACCACCACTTCTGGGTCTTGCACTCCAGCTCTAAGGACTTCAAATTCACAAAGTCCTTCTCCTTGGCACCTGTGCTACACCCTTCCAGTGTCAGGGGCAACCCCAAGCCCCTCCTCCCTCCCATTCGCCCAAATAACTGTTCCTCACCCCTCTCCTTTACAGCCTGGGGGTCCCCTGTGGGGCTGGGACCTAGCAGCTCCTGCAGCCTGGGGCCAGGGCTTCGCTCAGTCTCCAGGGGCTCCAACTTGAAGCTCGGTGACTCTCGGGCTGTTTCCAGAGGCAAAGGCTCCTCCAAAAGTACTTCTGTTCCCCGCCCACGGTTTGTGACCTGGGAACCAACCCACATCACTTATCATCACAACAGGGCCAGAGGGAAGGGAACCAGTACAGGGCGCTGAGAGCAAGCCTTCTGCTGAGGACCCAGTGAGACCCAAGACGCTGACCCCACGTGGGTCTGTGAGAACCCAGCGGGCTGCTCCGGTCAGAGGGAAGGCTCACTCCCGAGGGGCACACCTACCCGCGCAGCTCTTCCAACACACCTCATTCTCTCTGGCTCTCCTCCACCTTTTCTACACACTTTTATTGCTATTTGGCGACACTAGGGTGATCCTTAGGGGGTCTCACTACCATGCTTTCCCAAAGTTCAGTTCTGCAGAAAGCATTTTGATCCTAAAATAACGGCTAAAGATTATTAATTACAAGTACCTCGCCAAAATCACAAAGCGCCAGAGAGGACTTAACCCTGGTGATTCAGAGACGTACTGCCTCTGCATGGAAACAGGGCCCCACTCCTACTCCCTCTGCTCATTGGGGACAAAATCTAGGGAATGAGGATTCCAGAATTAACCACACAAAGGTCCATTCCAACGGTAAGACTCAGGGGAACCAGGTAAACTTGCTCGGGGATCTCACCTGGTGCCTCAGCCTCCCGAGCTCTCTCTGCATGTCCTCCACCAGGGTCACGGCTTCTTCCCCGCTCTCCGGGTGTAACTCCTGCACGCGGGCCTGGATCTCCCGGGGCAGGATGGTCAGAAACTGCTCGAGCACCAGCAGCTCCAGGATCTGCTCCTTGGTGCGCAGCTCCGGTCGCAGCCAGCCGTGGCACAGCTCCTGGAGCCGGCTGAGGGCTTCCCGGGGGCCGGCAGCCTCCTGGAAACGGAAGCCTCTGAAACGCAGGTGGGAGGCCTCTGGGCTGGGCGCCGGGTCAGCGGGGGGCAGCTCCTGGCTCCAGGCGCAGTCCTCCTCCAGCTTCACGATCAGCAGCCCTTCCCGTTCCTGAGAGATCGTGTCCGAAGCCATCGTCAGGACCCCGGGCAGCTGGGCCCTCTGGACCGGCTGTGCCCGCTCCGGCCGCTACCGAGGGTGGACAGCCTAGGCAGGAGCGTCCGGGCCAGGGGCTCCGAGTCCCGGCACAGGACCCCGGGCGCGGCAGCGGCGCGGCTAGCTCCAGCGCTTCGACCTCGGCCTGTCCTGGGAGCCGCCGCCCAGCCCCTCGACCTGCCTTGGCCAGACCTTCCTGAGGTAAAACTCGAAGAATGTGTTCCTCATCAAGTGCCGGACACTCTCCAGCCTCGGCCCTCGAGCCGGAAGTTCCTGCCTGTGTCCAAAAGCTAACAGACCCTCCTCCGGCCCAACTTCCGGGTCACTCCAGCGCCCATTGGATCAGGTCTCGCTGCGGACGCACCGACGACTAATAAGAAGGGAAGACCTGCCGAAGGGGCGGGACGAACGAGGGGCCAATTGTAGGCAAGAGGCGGGGCCGTGAGGCGAGTACTGGAAGTCCTGGGATGGAAGACTGTGAGGAGACGGACCGGGCCGCCGATCCCCACATGGGCTAGAGGGAGGGAGGGAAGGAAGCTGTGGCCGGAGGATGACAGGGATCAGGAGTCCCAAACAAAAGCTTATTAAAATGACCGTCCTCAGTTCACTGCGTCAGCGCATCGGGGTGGAGGGAATCCGGACCCCCGAGTGGTTATGCGCCGCTGGCCAGTTCTCCATGGCAGTCCCCATGGAAGTCCCTGACAGTTTCCGTCCACTCCGGGGCCGCGCCCGGCCTCACCCCGCTGGGCACAGGGGGAGGCAGCCGGGTGTGCCACGGGGCCAGCGACTCCTGCCGGGAAAGGGTCCTGGCCGGCATCACTTGTTCTCCAAAGTCCCTTTAATGTTAGACTATTGATGCGTGCTTACTTGGATAGATGAACTTTCAGGATTATCCCAGAGTACTGCATTTCATTTCATTTTTTACTTTTTGGAGGCTGGTCTACCCATATCCGGGTGACACAATAGCTGGCATTTGGTTGTAATTTCAGGCTAGTAGCAGATCTACGTGGATTCATGAAGGTCTAGGGATCTTAGCCTGAGAACGCTGGACTTTTAGCGCAGGCACTGTCCAGAAGAACTGCATGACGGTGGCTACTGAGCACTCAAAATGGAGTTAGTGCTGGAGACCATCGTAGCCAGCACAGAGCCAAAGTTTCTGTGGATAGATTTGGAGATGACAGAAGCTCTTGAAAATCGTACACTACATTGCGGAAGGTCTGTGTTTCTAGAAAGTGGGTTAGGACCTTGCATGATTTCTCCAAACAACTGTTCCCTTACAGCACTGGTGAAAACCGTGCCTTCTTGTGACCGCTATTGGTACTGCCTTTTATTTACAATTTATTTTTATTGGAAAGGCAGATCTACGGAGGAGAGAGAGAAAAATCTTCCGCCCATGGTTCCCTCCCAAATGGCTGCAACAACTAGAGCTGAGCCTATCCAAAGCCAGGAGTCAGGAGCTTCTTCTGGATCTCCCAAATGGGTGCAAGGAGTCAGGACTTGGGGCCACAAGCTGGGAGCTGGATCAAAATGGAGCAGCCAGGACACAAACTGACATATTAGATGCCAGCATTTGCAGGTGGTTGGATTAGCTTGCTTAGCCACAGTGCCAGCCCCCTGGTTCTCTGACAGGGAACCCCAGGTCTCCTGGTTACTAAAAGAGGCTGCTTTCAGTCTTTACATCTTGCCACTTCATAGGTATCTGGCCTGGGGAGTGCCACAGTGAGCACACCCACCATTCTAGAAGCTTCCTTGGCGTCCTCCCTGCTGCTACCCTTTATCCCTCCCAAGGCTTAACCTCTGGTCTTCAGCCGGGGTGGCTGAGCTCTGAGGGTGGAGGTAGGATCTCTGGAGTCTAGGTTTGCACTCTTGTTTCCACCTATGTGAGACGCCGCCGCAGCCCCCGCAGTCGACGTGTGGGCTCCCTGTGCGGTTGCGAGCACCGCGAAGGCTGGCAATCGGATCAGCGGCCAGCGCCCTCCGGGAGACCCTGCCAAGCATTCGCCTCCAGTGGGTTCGGTGCTCCCCCGGGGGCCTCTGGGAGATGTGGTTCTGGGCTTTGTGACGCGAGTGGGCGGGCCGTTTCCCAGAAGCCAGTGGGCGTTGGGCAAGCCACAAGGCTTCCCCTTTTTCCATCGTCCTCTCCTGGCGGCTCTGCGGGCGCTGGCCCTGGGAGGTGCCGCGGGGGCGTGGGACCGAGTCCCGCCGCGGAGGCGGACCTGAGGGGGACGCTGTGCCGGGCGCGTCCTGCGCCCATCCTTGCAGAGGACCTAGGGGACACTGAGGGCTGCGCCGCTTTGGGGACCTTCTCCGATTTCCCCCAGGGAACCCTTCGACAGGCCGGAAACGGAAGCGGGAAGGTGGGAAACCCGCCCCTTTCTCACAGCTGCTGCCTCTGTCAATATCGTGTTTTCCGCCACTTCAGGCGGCTTCCACTCATAAACAAGTAGTTTCAAAATGCGGAGAAGCTTGGCAATTCTGGAGCACGGGGCGAGGACCGGGTGGCCAAAGGGGGACCTCCAAGAGTGGGGTGTCTCCCAGACGCTGAGCCGCTGGGGTTTGTAAGCTTGTGGGCAGTCGGCGAATGTATTCCCAAAAACCTAGAGATATTGATCCCCCCCACCAAAGAAACGTAAGAAAAAAATGAATAAAGTTGAGGGTCAAAAGAACCTGCACTTTTCCTGCGTGTCTAGGTATATTGGACAGTCTCCTGGATCGCATTTATGGAGCCTGCTGCATCTGTCACAATGTTGAAAAGGCGGGTCTCTTGTGGGCAGTGCCATGCGTGGGCAGAGACTCCTTCCTCCTGCGGAAACCATTATTTCTCTTCCCCTGCCTGAGTCAGATGAGTGCTTCACCCCAACTTTCCCAAGTCCCCTCACCTCAGTAAAAGACTGGGCGTCCTCTTGTTCTGACCCGGATATGCCCCGACCCCTGCCAACCACTCCTGCGGCCCCTCGCCGGCTGCCTCGCTTCCCAGACCCCAAGCAGACACCAGCCCTGGCTTCGCACTCTCGTCCGTAGAAGTCTGCTCAGTAAAGCAGTGGCCCCCTCTCCCAACAAGATCCTCCTCAAGTGCCCTATTTGAAAGACCAAACTATAAAATAAAATACCAAAGAGGGGGATAGCTGCCACTTCCAGCGCTGGTAACACTGTCACCTGAGTGCCAGTTTGCATCGTCTGCTCCCCTTCATATCCAGTTTCTTATTATCATTTCCATGGTAACTTCTACAGTATCTATACACCACCGCCCTTCTTAAAGAAGTGGTAGAGGATTTTTTTTTTAAGATTTACTTATATTTATTGGAAAGATATACAGAGGAGGAAAAACAGAGAGAAAGATCTTCCATCCATTGATTCACTCCCAAATGACCATAAGGGCTGGAACTATGCTGATCCAAAGCCAGGAGCCAGAAGCTTTTTCCCAGTCTCCCATGCGGGTACAGGTTCCCAAAGCTTTGGGCCGTCCTCTACTGCTTTCCCAGGCCACAAGCAGGAAGCTGGATGGAAGTGGAGCTGCTGGGATTAGCATGGGCACACATTTGGTATCCCTGCGCATTCAAGGCAAGGTAAGGAATTTGGTCACTAGATTACCGCGCTGGGCCCCATTCTGTTTAATTTTAAGAAAGAGGGCCCGGCGCGGTGGGGCAAGTGGTTAAGGTCCTTGCCTTGCACGCCCGGGGATCCCATATGGGCGCTGGTTCTATCCCGGCAGCCCCGCTTCCCTTCCAGCTCCCTGCCTGTGGCCTGGGAAAGCAGTCGAGGATGGCCCAAAGCTTTGGGACCCTGCACCCATGTGGGAGACCAGGAAGAGGCTCCTGGCTTCGGATCGGCATAGTATCAGCCGTTGCGGTCACTTGGGAAGTGAATCATCGGACGGAAGATCTTCCTCTCTGTCTCTCCTCTCTGTATATCTGCCTTTCCAATAAAAAAAAAAATAATAATTTTAAGAAAGAAATTTGAGAGCCTGATAAGGTAGCCTAGTAGTTAAATCCTCACTTTGCATGTGCTGCCATCCCATGTGGACACTGGTTCTAATCTCAGCTGCTCCACCTCCCATCCAGCTTCCTGCTGGTGCCCTGGGAAAGCAGTGGAGGATGGCCCAAAGCTTTGGGACCCTGCATCTACGTGGGAGACCCAGAAGAAGCTCCTGGCTCCTGGCTTCGGATCAGCTCAGCTCCAGTTTTTGTTGCCGCTTGGGGAGTGAACCAGCAGATAGAAGATCTTTCTCTCTTATCTGCCTTTTCAATAAAATTTTTAAAAAGAAAGAAATTTAATATTTTGAGAGGTGAACGATCATAGATTAATTTCTAGGCTCTACCACCAAATGCTTTGCCCAGAATTATGCAACAGCTGTCTGCGGGGTGAGCAGTGACCTGGTCATGTATAATTTATGCATCAGCTGGGATATGACCTCAACTTCAGTTTTCACTTGAGCATTTAAATTATGGCCTGCTCAGTATTGGGCAAGTCAAAACTTTAGATCCAAGAAGGTTAATGATTTTCTTTAACGGATGAAGTCTAATTTTTTTTTTTTTTTTTTTTTTTTTTTTTTTTTTGTGCCTAGGGGTTCTAGCAAGTCACAATGGGCAAGTATTTGGCCTAGTGGTCAGGCAGCATGTTGGGATGTCTGGGTCCTGCATTAGATGCCTGAGTTGAAGTCCTGGCTATGCTCCCACTGCAAGTTTCCTGCAGATCCACACCCAGGAATCAAGCAACCAGGCTCCAGTGTTTGGATTCCCGCCACTGATGTCAGAGAGCTGGGTAGTTTCTGGCTCCAACTTGAGTCCCTGGCTTGGCATTATTGCAGTCATTTGGGGAGTGAGTCAGTAGAGTAAGAGCTAGCTTGTTTTCTCTCTCTTTTGCTCTCTCTCATCGCATTCTCACTCTCACTCCACTTTCTACTTCTCATAAAGAAAGCTGAAAATATTGATGTGTCGAAACAGCTGTCTCATGGCTACCACAGTGGCCGGAGAACGGTGGGGTTTGCCTCCAACCAAACTCTGAATGGATGGCAGAATTCTGGTGGGCCCCTCAGGTGGTGAGACCACCACTGAACCAATGAGGGGCACAGACCCATACCCCGCCACCAATAAAGGCCGAGGCGACCCCCATCTTGACTTCCGTGCCAAGGAGAGTTTAAAAGGGCCCCTTCCCTGTCTCTTTCATGCTCTTCTTCCTCTGCAGCTCCACGTCTGTCTTTCCTGCGGCACGGGGAAGGGAAGCCCGTGACTGTGGCTCCCTGAAATAAAGGCCATCTAAATTCTTTTCAC